CCTGCAGGGGGGAGGGTGGAGAGCAGCCCTGGGCAGTAGGCAGGGGAGGGGCCACTATTGGCTTTTCCCTGCCCTGGGGGCTGAGGGCATGGGCACTCCCTGAAATAACTGCTGAGGACACAGACCTCCACCCTGCTGACTACTGCCCCGGGCATGGGTCCTCCCTCCTTCTGACCTCTCAACCCAGCCCACAGGCAGCAGAGTGAGGCCCACCTAGGCCCTGACACAGCCTCCCCACCTCCTTCCCTGTTCTGGGGCCCCTCCCACCTTCAGGGAGGGACAAGGACAGGGATTGGGCTGGGGGAGAGTGGGTCCAGCCCCGGGCCTACAGCCCTGTACTCAGAGACCACTTCTTGGATAGGATCTCTACCCAGGCTGGACAGACGCCTGAGCTTAAAACCCCAAGGGGGCCACAATCAGTGTCCTCAGAGACCAGCAAGCAAGGAGTATCGGCTACGGGAACTGCTCCCAGCCTCACCAGGAGATATTGTGCCCAAGGCACCCAAGGAGATACCAGGTCCATCTGAGAGTTGGTCCAGGGCTCTGACACCCTATCCCCTGAACAATGGGACTGTTTTCATTCCTATCTCCAGAAGTCCGAGTCAAGAATTAGCTAGCTCCGGAGTGAGAGAGGAAGGTTGTGGTCAAGTGGCCTCACTTCCCTGCCAGGCTGCTCAGAACCCCCAACCCCACACAGCCCAGGAATCAGGGAATTTGACCCTGCACCAGCCCTCTCAACAGGGTCGGGTCCCCACCTTGAGGTGGCTAGCCCAGCTAGAAATCCCCTCCTGCATGTCCCTTGACACCTAAATGCCCTGCCCCTGGGGCCCCTGGGCACACTCAGGGCCCCCCAACCTGGCTGCAGCTGAGCTCCCAAGATCCCAGGGTTCCCCTCACCTGGATTCCCCTCAGTAATCATTTACCCGGTCCATGTCCCATTGTGTGCTTAGTCCCACAAGTTCCTCCCAAAAGCCACTGTGAGAAGCAGGCACTACTATAACCCTCTACCCTACTTTACAGATAAAGAAGGGCACAGAGAGGAAAGTAACTCGCCCAAGGTCACACAGCCTTGAGATGGCAAAACTGAGCCCAGAGAAGGTCTGACTGCATCCAGCTAACGTTCTGACCTGAGGCTTCTGAAGCTGGGGGGTAGGGGTGTGGGGCTGGGCTTCTGCAGAGGGCACAGGACAGGAACACACAGTCTGTCCACACAACATGATGAGGCACAAGGGACATGAAAGATGGGCCTTGAGGGATGTGTAGGAGTTTGGCAAGTAGAGAAGAGGGCAAAGGAAGGGCCCTCCAGTTGGGACGCAGCGTGAGAAGAGGAAGGCTTCCTGCTGGTTGGGGCAGCAGGGGCTGAGGACATCTGACTCAGGCACTGGCTCCCTCCCTTGGGCCCAGTGAACCTGGCATGGAGAGAAGGGTGTCAAGGAAACAGAGGTGACTCTGGGGACAAGGACCTCTGTCCAGCCTGAGGAGACACCCTGTCCTCAGAGGCTAGGCAGGGGAGGGGCCTGGGCTTTGAGGTTTGAGGTTTGAGCTGAGACTTTTCCTTTTGGCTCAAGGAGAATGAGCCTGTGAAGAGGCCAGATACTGTCACAGAGAGCCAGTGTCCACCCTGTCACTGTGCCAGGGCCACCTGGTTCGTGTCCCACCTCAGATGGCATCTAGTGCCAGGCAGCCCAGACACCCAGCAGACTTTGTGCCTGTCCACCTTGAGGAGCCTTGCAAGGGTAAATCACCTACCCTCCGGGGAAGCCAAGCATCTGAACACAATTTCTGCTTGTTGCCACCCCCGCCTCACCCCATATATTCTCCAGAAACACCCTCTGCCTTTTCTTTCTTTCTTTCTTTCTTTTTTTGTATGAAAGGTCTTTATTGGTGGGGGGAGGGAGGCTGCAGAGCAGCACCAAGAAGGAGGGAAAAGAGAAGAGAAAAGAGGAGAGAAAAGAGGGGAGAGAAATAAGCAGAGAGTGGGGAAGAGAAGAAAGAGAGTAGAGAAGAGCAAGGGGGAAGAGGCAGAAAAAGAGCCTGCCTTTTCATTATAAATATAATACACATCCATTCGAGAGATTTGTTAATACAGAAGATGCAACCAACTTCTATCATCCAGAGATTCTCTCCTTATGTCTATTTCTTGGTTTTTAAAATTACCTTATTTAATTGCTAGCTGTGTGGCCTTAGGCAGGCTAGCTAACCTCTCTGTGCTTTGTTTCTCCATTTGCACATACCATGTTTCCTTGAAAATAAGACACTGTCTTATATTTATTTGTTCTCAAGAAGACACACTAGGGCTTATTTTCAGGGGATGTCTTATTTGTATTATGTATAATACAACAATCTACATTTATTCAAATACAGTTAAGTCATCTTCTTCTGGAACCTGACAGGGAGAGCCGACCTTGTTGGTGGGGCTGGCACTAGTGATACATGAACTCCTTTCCCCTAGCCATTCTCACATAGGCAATAGGATGCCTGCTACCGTGGTTACCACACGTGCACACCCACCCCTGCAAGTACTAATGGCTCTGAGAAAGGAGCTGTGGCAGATAAAATGTATTCCAGTCTTCTTTACCAGCTCCCGCCGAAATGATGGTGTGGCTATGCAAATACCCTGCATAGCTGCGCCCATCACTAGGTCTTATTATTGGGGTAGGGCTTATATTTAACAAATGCATAGAAATCCCGCTAGGGCTTATTTTGGGGGTAGGTCTTATTTTCCGGGAAACACAGTAGGAATAACGTCTATTCCTAAGACAGGCAATCTTAGTGTTTCCTATTCCAGGATTTACCAAAAAAAAATTTTCTTGAGAGTCTCAATGCTCTGGTGCCATAGTTGACAACAACCTTAATCTCTTGGACTCATTTGATACTCTTGCCTCAGCCTCCTTAGTAGCTGGGACTACAGGCGCCTGCCACTGTGCATCCATCCTCCTCTTCCTCCCAGAGGCCTTGGATTACAGGTGTGAGCCCTGTGCCCAGCTGAATATATAGATTTTATTGCAAGTGAAAAGTACAAATCCCTCCCCCTTCAGCCCTGGAGGGATCCCACCTCTGCTGTGGGTCTTTTTTCTCTAGACTTTTTTTTTTTTTTTTGAGATAAAGTCTCACTTTGTCACCCTAAGTAGAGTGCTTAGTATCATAGCTCACAGCAACTGCAGACTCAGACTCTTGGGCTCCAGCGATACTCTAGCCTCAGCCTCCGGAGTAGCTGGGACTACAGGCGCCCGCCACAACTCCCCGGTATGTTTACAGATGAGCCACTGCGCCCGGCCTTTTCTCTAGACTTTTTTAAGGGAGATGTCTCAGCCCCTAGCAAGTCAGGAGTGTCCCCCATTTCACTTTCCATTCCCAGTGCCGCGCTGTCCTCACCCGGCTTCAGTTAGGCTTTCTCAGCCCCCGGGCTCTGCCGGCTTTGCGGCTCTGCCGCCGACCTTGGCCTTCCTCGCCGCGCGGGCACTCCTCCCTGCCCTCCTGTAGCCCTCTGCCAAAGAATGAACCACAAATGAAGTCTGAAGGGGGTGGGGCGAGGAGGGACCCAGGGACCGCCCCCCCCCACCAATTTCGGGGAGAGCAGAAACCACTGGAGCCCGGCCGGGATGGGAGCGCTCGGAACCCTGAGGGCCGGAGAGGACGGAGGAGGAACAGCAGGCGGGTGTGGAGGGAGGGGCTGGGACCCGATAAAGCGGGTAACCGAAGGTCACAAAGTTCCCCATCCCAGTGGGGCACGCTGCCCCCATCCCAACCTACTGCTGTGCTCTGCGCAGGGCCTAGAACCAGGGTGAGAGTGGGGGCCTGCGCCTGCCCCGACCCTCGGTGGCTCTACCCACTCTGGGCGCGTGGCCTCGCCCAGGTCGAATACCGCCCTGCTGCAGGCAAGGGGTGACAGGCGAGGAGCACCCGCGCCCGCGCCAGAGAACCGCAGGCTCCCAGGTCTCCTAGCTCCCCACGCCGCAGTGTCCTGGAGACTCCCACGACCGAGGCCTTTTAGCTCCGACCCTTCACTACCCCCACGGCTGCCCACGCCGCCGACCCACCTCCCCAAGCCTCTGCCGTTCACCAAGGAAAAACACGCCGCTCCTCAGCTCTGCACCCAGGGCTGATGTCAGCTGAGGGCCTGTTTCTGCAAACGAAAAACATACATGGCCCCAAGCCCAGCTACCAAGCTCTGCCCGATTCAGAGTTGTGCGGGGTGGGGGGTGGGGCGGTTGGTCACCCTGAAGTCCCCTCCGCCCCAGGGCTGCGACCACCGGGCCCGCCGGGGAGTGCAAGGGAGTCACGGTTGGTTCCAATGCCGTAGAGGAGACTCTTCCAGATTCCCCCACGAGCAGCGAGAAACTCTCCCCAAGGGCTGGGGCCTCGGAAGCTGAAGCACACCGGAGGGCTCCTGAGAGCCTGCGGTGGCCTCTGCTGGGAACCCTGCTACAGTGGCCCCGCTTGCTCAGGATTTGACGAGATTTCCCGACTCCGCTGGACTTCAGCGGGAGATGGCCGGTAGTACACTCAGTCTGCGCCCAGGGACTCGACCAAGCGGTCTCAACGAAAGTCAGATCACTGCTCTGGGCCCCAAGTTCAAGAGCACAACCAGGGGGCCCACGGGGTTCCACCTCCGTGTCGGTAGGTGAAACGAGGCCAGGGTCATGGATTCAACCATAAAACGGGGAACGAGTCACTAGGCCATCCTTGGGTGAGAGTCGCCGGCAGACGAGGAGGGAGGGGTGGAGACTGTTGAAATCAGGAACAAAATTATAGAAGTCTCCGAGTTCCGACTGCCCTGGGGCCCACGTAGACCTCGGCCCTCTGTGCACCTACGTTGGCCGTGTCTCAGCGCTGGGTGCCCCTTACTATGTGCCCAGATCGCGAGTCTCAAGAGCTGGGCCTGCTGGGGTCACGTGGCTCCGGGGCCGAAGCCCCGGAGCTGACCCCGCTGGGAAGGAGGGCGGGCGCGGAGAGGGAAGGGGCGGCGCGGCAGTACAGGCCGGGGCGGGGCGACGCCGAGGGGAGGCTGGATCGCCCGGGATTCCCCGCAGAACCGCCCTAGCCCCCAGCTTCTAGGCTCCAGACGGCCGTCGCTGACCCACTGCATCCGCCGCGCCCTTCCGACCCGCCGGTGAGTGCTTGTGACGAGGCCACAGCCTCACTCCCCACGGTCCCTCACCAGAGCGGCGAAGCCGTGCCCCCCGCGATGTCCCAAGCCCAGTCCTTCCCAGCCCCCATCGAGCCCACTCCGGCGACCAGCGAAGCCCGGGCAGTGGAGGAGGTGGGCTTGGCGTGGAGGTTACACGGGGAATGTTGCACTGGCCGCTCAGGATCGTTCCTCCCCTGACGGTTCTGGGACCTGCCTCGAGAACGCCCCGGATGGGGAGTGGGAAGCGCAGCCGGAGTGACGGCACCTGCCCAGCATAAGCTCGGGAGCTGGCGGGGCGCACGCAGCGGTCGTGACACTGACGTCGGTCTCTTTTCCCTGCAGGTTAAGACTGCGCGCGGGAAGATGTACCAGAGCCTGGCGCTCGCCGCAAGCCCTAGCCAGACCTCCTTCGCCGACTCGAGCGCCTTTCTGCACGCTCCGGGTTCCGGCTCCCCTATGTTCGTGCCGCCGGCGCGCGTCCCTTCGGTGCTGCCCTATCTGCCGGCGTGTGAGCCGGGCCCGCAGCCTCCTGCTCTCGCTGCGCATCCCGGGTGGGCGCAGGCAGCCGCGGCGGACTCTTCGGCCTTCGGCTCCGGCAGCCCGCACCCGCCTGCAGCGCAGCCGCCCGGAACAACCGCCTTCTTTTCTCACAGTTCCCCGGGGCCAGGCAGCGGCTGCAGCTCGGGGAGCCGGGACGGCAGCACCTACCAGGGCGCGCTGCTGGCACGAGAACAGTACCCGGTCTCGCTTGGGCGGCCCGTGGGCGCCTCGTACCCCACCGCCTACCCGGCCTACGTGAGTCCAGACGTGGCCCAGTCCTGGACTACCGGATCCTTCGAAGGCAGCGTCCTGCACGGCCTCCAGGGCCGCTCGGCCGGCCTCCCGGGCCGCAGAGCCGCTTTCGGTGAGTACGGGGGTTAGAGGGCAGCTGCACTGACTGGATCCCAAGCGCTCGCTCAGTCCAGGGTGCAAACCCGCACCCAGCGAAATGCTTCCCGGCCTCCGCCCGGGTCAGAGCTTCCAGGCCAGGCTGGACCGCAGCAGCTCTGGTCAGAACTCCAGGGACATGTAGACCTAGGGTGACAGCGTTTGCATGACCTCGCCCACCACCACGAGGAGAAGCATATGTTGATAATTCTTTATTAACATGCCACGTATTAGTAAGGAAAATGCCTCTATTTCATTCATCCGAACCCAAAACAGCATTCTGGATTGTGCCAATTTGGAGTCTAAGTCTTAAATGTTTTTCATTTCAAGTTTTGGAGATGATTTTTGTAAAGTTGAAAATGCCAGTTTACTTAAGTACCTGGTTTCAATCGCTCCCGGAGTATAAATGTGGATAATCTGATTCCAGGCCTGTAAAGCAGACTGAATTGCTCTACCCGGTTTCTGAGCAGTCTGCCCAAGGTCACTCCTCTGAGTTTGCGGGCCCGAAAGGCCCCTCGGGGCCACCCCTCGGGCCCTCCAGGCTTCGGCACGGGCTCAGGGAGCTGCCTTTTGGACCCCCACCGGCTCCTTGGCGGCGCGCAGGAAGCTGACCCAGCCGCTGCAGCGCGGGGTCCCCTGCCCCCTGCCCTGGGCAGCCCTGCATGGCGCCCACCCCCGCCCCGCCCCCACCGGGCGCCCCAGGTCTCCCTGGCGGCGCTGGCGCCCGACTTAGCCTGGAAGGTGCATCGCTGAGCCATCCTGCCTTCAGAGGAAGGGAAGTGGCTAGGAACACAGCATACCTGTCAGGCCTTCAGTCCTTTAGGGTATCTGGAGATCTGACTTGGCCAATGGGGTTAGCCCAGGCCCCCTCCTGGATAAGACCCCTTCAGCCATCTCCCTCCACTCCCATGGATTCTGCCACTGGCCCAGCAGGTCGGAAATGTGGAGGGTGGTACTGGACCCTGGTCAGAGAGGGCCAGCTCAGAGCGGGCCAGCTCAGAGCGTCCACCCGCTGTCTCTGTTTTAGCACCCCCCTTACAAAAGCAACCCAAATGGAGTTTCCACTATGTAAGTTTTTAAAAGACTAATTAAATAAGGGGGGTTTTAAAATTTATTTTATTTTAATATTTTACATTTTGGTTTTGGAGACAGTCACTCTGTCACCCTGGGTAGAGCGCCATGGTGTCATCATAGCTCACAGCAACCTCAAACTCGTGGGCTCATATAATCCTCTTGCCTCAGCCTCCCAAGTAGCTAGGACCACAAGTGCCTGTCACAACACTTGGCTATATATATAGTTTTTTTTTTTTTTGAGACAGTGTCACTTTGTCACCCTCAGTAGAGTACCTTGGTGTCACAGCAACCTCAAACTATTGGGCTTAAGCAATTCTTTTGTCTCAGCCTCTGGAGTAACTGGGACTACAGGCACCCACCACAAAACCCTGCTATATTTAGAGACAGGGTCTCACTCTGGTCTCCCACCCATGAGCTCAGGCAATCCACCCACCTCAACCTGCCAGAGTGGTAGGATTATGGGTGTGAACCACCTAGCCCAACTAACACCTGGCTATTTTTTTAAAGACAGGGTCTCATTCTTGTTCAGGCTGGTCTCCAACTCCTAAGCCAAGCAATCCACCCGCCTCAGCATCCCAAAGTGCTAGAATTATAGGCCCGAGTACATAAGTTTTTAAATAAAGCAAGTATAATACACAAAAGCAAGGAGTCAGGCAGAAGCCCTTAGGCTCTTGGAGCGGCCAAGGGGCCCACAGGCTGCCTGTCCCTACAGTGTCAGACTTCTTAGAGGAATTCCCTGGCGAGGGTCGGGAGTGTGTCAACTGCGGGGCCCTGTCCACACCGCTGTGGCGCCGTGACGGTACTGGCCACTACCTGTGCAACGCCTGCGGCCTCTACCACAAGATGAATGGCGTCAACCGGCCACTCGTGCGGCCCCAGAAACGCCTGGTGAGTGCAGCCCCAGGAGCCACAGCCGGGGCAGGGTTGGGGGAAGCACAGTTCCTCAGGGACACATTGCAGCCACATAGGGGTGAGAGCTGGGGGCTATCAGTGAGGATGCTGTGGGGCCACCCACTCAGTGTTGAAGCCAGCAGAGCTTCTGCTCTGTGCTCAGTGGGGTGCAGCTTTGTGAGGTCTGGGGGGGCTCTGCTCCAGGGTCTCCTGTTGGGAGTTCAGCTGTCAGAGGCCTCAGGGTGGCCCTGCCCAAAGATGGGGCTTGAGGAGAAGGTGGCTTCAGGGAGATAATTTGTTAGGGGGCCACTTACTACCCAGCTTCGGACACCAGGAGGAGGGCTGGTGTGTGCTTGTTCCCTGCCTCATTGGGCAAAACTTGTTTTCACTTTTGGCTCCTCCTGGTTTGTGGCTAAGTAGGGGTGAGAGACTCAGGAACCCAGACTTTTGCCCTGGGCAGGGCACAGTCCCCAGAACCTGCCCAGAGGTTGTTGAGAGTTACTTTGTTCTGTGCCAGTTCCCAGGCAAACCTTACACTGAAGTGATTTTACAGACAAGAGTGCAATGTTAATGGTCTGCAAGTTTTCTAAAGTTAAGGAGGCCACAGTGCCCCCCCTCCCAGGTCCAAGCAAGGGAATGTTCCTGGTTGCAGCCAGCCCTCCTTTAGAGGGACATGTGCTAGCGGCGGGGGGGGCTGTCCTCCTGCTGTCCTCCATTTGCCATTCTGGGCTGTGCTGACTGGTGGCTACAGGACACTGTCTACAGCAGGAGGCATCCTCAAACTACAGCTGATGGGCCACATGCGACCCACCTAGGACATTTATCCTGCCCACTGGGTGTTTTTGCCACTGCTGCCTGTCCTGCTTAGCAGCCAACTCGTCCTGGGGCCTGCAGTCCAGCCCTCCAATGGTCTGAGGGACAGTGAACTGGCCCCCTGTTTAAAAAGTTTGAGGACCCCTGGTCTACAGCCTCCTGGGAATCTGTGGTCCCAGGTGTCTGGGAGACACAGCCCCCTGATTTGCGGTCCTCTACAGGGCTGGGGGAGGCAGGCTTGGCAGTTGGAGGGCAGTGCTATTTCTCCTCTTGAAGCTGGCCTAGAGTCCCAACCTCTATGGAGCCACTCTGTGCCTCTCTGAAGGAGAGGTGCCCCAGAGCCATCACCCCTCAGCGCAGCCTCCACTAGATCTGTCCTGCAGTTGTGCCCAGGGTCCAGTTATGTACCCCAGCTGGTATGTGCGCCTCAGCTGGTATGCAGGGGTCCCTCACTGAGGGGGAAAACGAGGTTACAAGGGAGCGGAGAATTGTCCTAGGTCCCCCAGGTCTTCCCACCGCAGCCCCCAACTATCCCAGGCACTGAGCTAGCCCATCCTCCCTGCTTCCTCCCACCAGCAGGGTCTACTCAGCAGAAGATTCTAACTGGGGCCCTAGCTAAGCACTGAGGGCAGCAGAACCATCCCCTCGAGGCACCATATGCTCCCCTCACTGCAGCCCCTGCCCTCCCCTGGGTCTTGCAGCCCAGGTGCCACTGTGTCCAGCTGGCCCCTAGGCCCTGGGCTATAGCATCTCATGGAGAGTCCCCAGCTTCCTGAGCCTTGGTCTCACCTCAAGAGATGGGGAATGAATTCTGAACCATCCCGCTGTGTTCAGAAGTTAAATTAGACAGCCAGAGCCAAGTGTGTGGGCAGGCCTTGGCTCTGAGGACAGCTGAGGCAGGGACACTTGGCCTTGGGACCCCTCCGTTTCCTGGCCTTGGGGACACAGGCTCAACTTTGAGGATGACTCCTAGGGAGGGATCCCTATTTACCTACCCATTTATTTTATTTTATTTTATTTTTTGGAGACAGTCTCACTATGTCACTCTCAGTAGAGTGCTATGGTGTCACAGCTCACAGCAACCTCAGCTCCTGGGCTTAAGCAGTTCTTTTGCCTCACCCTCCAGAGTAGCTGGGACTACAGGCGCCTGCCACAACGCCTGGCTATTTTTTGGTTGCAGTTTGGCTGGGACTGGGTTTGAACCTGCCACCCTTGGTATGGTCCCACCCTGGGGTCGTTGCCATAGGCACCGCCATTTTTTTTTTTTTTTTTTTTTTTTGGAGACAGAGTCTCACTATATCACCCTCGGTAGAGAGCTGTGGCATTACAACTCAGAGCAACCTCTAACTCTTGGGCTTAAGCGATTCTCTTGCTTCAGCCTCCCAAGTAGCTGGGACTACAGGTGTCCCCCACAACGCCAGGCTATTTTTTGTTGCAGTTGTCATTGTTGTTTAGCAGGTCCGGGCTGGGTTCCAACCCACCAGAGTCGGTGTATGTGGCCAGCGCCATAACCACTGAGCTACAGGTGCTGAGCCTTACCTACCCATTTCCCTATAGCCACAGGCTCTGGAGGGTGGAGATGGCCTGGTCACCCGTGTGCCCAGGTCCTCCAAACCCGAACTGCCCCCTCCTCTAAGTGACTGCAGACAACCTAGAAGCATATCATTGAGGACACAGGAAAGTAACAGAAAGGTGGCCACCCTGTGTCCTCCCATCAGAAGCCCTGTAGCTGGCTCGGTGCCTGTGGCTCAAGTGGCTGAAGTGCCAGCCATGTACACCCAAGGTGGCGGGTTCAAATCCAGCCCAGGCCTGCCAAAACAACAATGATGGCTGCAACCAAAAAAAAAAAAAAAAAATAGCCGGGTGTTGTGGTGGGCACCTGTGGTCCCAGCTACTTGGGAGGCTAAGGCAGGAGACTCACTTGAGCCCAGGAGTTGGAGGTTGCTGTGAGCTGTGATGCCATGGCACTCTACCCAGGGGGACAGCTTGAGGCTCTGTCTCAAAAAAAAAAAAAAAAAAAGAAGCCCTGTAGCTCAGAGCCTCTGCTGTACCAGGGGATAACAAGGAGGAAAGCTGCCACCGTCCCTACCCCACTGCCTCCTCACCCCCACAACTCCCTCCCCATGGCGTCCATGTGTGTAGACGTGGGCTGGCCTGTCTGAGACAGGAGCAGCCCACCCCCATCCCCCACCCCTGAACACTGGAGCCCAGACTGAGCCTGCAGCCTGGCAGCCAAGGTCAGTGCACACAGCAGGCCATGGCCCAAGGCCGGCTCTGGCGCCAGTTCTGGGAGGCAGCCGGTGTTGTGAGGGGCCCAGTGTCCTTTGCCGCTGAGCAAACCTGGCCCTTGCCTGGCTTGGGGCTCCCGATACCATTTGATCCCAAGCTTTCCTTCCTGCTTAGCACTGCTTGGGCTCAAGCCATTTTGCCTTTGGTTGACAAGGAACAGGGACACTTCATCAAGTTAAATGTGGGCTGTATCCCCTTTTGAGAGGGAATCAGTGAGAACTGGAGGCACCCTGGCCACTTTCTGCCCCAGGCTCAGAGTCCTCAGGCACCTTGGCCTCTGCATGTCATCCACCAATCTAGTGTAAGGGGCAGCAGGCCACAGGAGACCGCAGCACAGGCCACTTGTCACCTGCTGCTTTCACTTCTCACGTGTCCCCTACCTGTGCCACCTCACCCCTCCAAGCCAGGCGTGGACCTGTCCTTGTCCTGAGCTCCCCAAATCCACCAAGCTGTGTGGACCCAGGCTCTGCTGTATCTGCCAGCCTTACTTATTTGGGCATCTCAGATGGGGGCAAGGCCTGGTACTCACAGCAGTTCGGCTGCTCACCAGGCTTTGAAGTTTAACTTCTTTTAAAAAGAGCAGGCAAAAAAAATAAAGTAAGAAAATAAAAATAGGCTCGGCGCCTATAGCTCAACCGGCTAAGGCGCCAGCCATGTACACCTAAGGTGGTGGGTTCAAATCCCCAGCCCGGACCCGCCAAACAACAATGACGGCTGCAACCAAAAAATAGCCGGGCGTTGTGGCGGGCGCCTGTGGTCCCAGCTACTTGGGAGGCTGAGGCAAGAGACTCGCTTGAGCCCAGGAGTTGGAGGTTGCTGTGAGCTGTAATGCTACGGCACTCTACCCAGGGGGACAGCTTGAGGCTCTGTCTCAAAAAAAAAAAAAAAAAAAAGAAAATAAAAATAAAAAAAGAAAGAAAAAGTCCGGCTGAGAGAGGTTTGGAGGTTAGGGCCTGAGAGTGGCAAGGCCTAGCTACTTCTGCAGTGAGGGAGAACAGGCATTGGTTCTGGGCACCCACCAGCCTGTGGTGACATTGGGGCACCAACGCAGGGCTATGGTGGTGGGGTGGCGAGTTTGCCCACCCGGGACCCCATATTCCTCTGGTCCCTCAGCACCCTGAGCCTCAGTTTGCCATGCAGTGAAGGTGTAGGAAAGATGGAGGAACTGCTTTGAAAATGTTTTTGAGGTCATTTCTTTTTGTTCCATTTTCCTAATTTTATAGAGATAAAACACGCTTGCCATATAGAGTTAAACGTGACGTCAGACACCTCTCTGGGGTTCTGAGGTCCAGGGCGCTGGGCACGTGCGTCCAGGCTGTTTTCCGGGAGGCAGGCTCCAGGCGTATTCTTGCTTTTCTTTCTCTTTCTCTCCACAATCTCCGGCTCCGGGTCACTGGGTGCGTAGCCCTGCCTGTCCCAGCAGTGCTCAGGCAGCAAGGGGGACACCGTGGAAGATAGGAGTCTGGGTTCCAGAGTGGTAATGGCTCCCAATGTCTGAGGGCCCTCACGAGTTGGGGAAGAAAACTGGCCTTGGGCCACAGCTCCCTCTTGGTCTGCAGGGACCGCAGGAGGGTGGTCACCAAATACAATGCAGGATGCCCAGTTGAGTGTGGATTCCAGGTAAACACAGATAGCAATTCAGTACCTATGTCCCAAATAGTGCATGGGACATGCTTGTATCCAGTATTTGTTGCTTCTTAGAAATTCTTGCTGACCAGGGTTTCCTTTAGGGAGCAGGGCTGGAGGAGCCACTGCCCATCCTGGAGAGTGGGCTTGGGGGGGCAGTGGGAGTATCCACAGGTCCTTCCCAGAGGGAGAATGCAGTAGGAGAGTGGGGGGGGCTGGGCCAGACACAAATCCTTTCTAGACCTGTCTGCAGTCCTGGACCTCCCCAGGAAAGACGTGAGCTGTGGCATGGGGGCCAACGGTCCAAGGATGGGGATGTTGTCCTCTTGGGTCTCCCCAGTGAGGCCAGGAGCTGTGGCCCCAAGGCCCCTCTCTTAAGCCTCCCCACTCTGGCCTCTTCCCTTCCCTCCTGCCCCTTTGTCGTGGAGGCAGAGCAGAATCCTGCCTAGAGTCAGGAGGCCTGTCCCCAGTGAAAGGGAAGGAATTCCCGGAGCCTCTGCAGCACAGAGGCGACTGGGAGGCCTTGGGCTTACAGGCACAGCTGGGGCTGGGGGCTGCAGGCAGGCTTCACTCCCTGTCCAAGGCAGGGCTGTGCCCTTGACCACAGCCTGGCAGAGGGGTATGCAGGAAACAGGCAGGAGATGGCATGCAGAAAGGGTTCCTAACAGATGGGAAAACTAAGGCTGGCCAGATCTGCTCACCATGGTCCAGGCAGATCCTTTTTGCCCCCTGGTTTGGCCCCTCACTTCTGATTGCTCTTTGCTCCTGCCCTGGCCTGGAGAATGAGGTGTGGGACGTGGCTTTGAGTATGAGGTCCTCATCCTCTGGGCTTCTTCCCTATGACTCAAGGCACCACTGGTGAGTCCGGACCCTCGCTGCTGCACTACTATGGGGTCGTAACTGTGGTCCTGGCGAGAGGGGCTGGGGACGTGGCCCAGATAGAGGCTGTACAACCTAAGAAGTAGGGCCTAGATAGGAACGGGGTGGCCAATGGCAGGGGCTGCGCGTGGAGGCAAACCAACACACTCTGGGAGGTCTAGGGGCAGGTGGTGGGGGATGGTGCCTCCAGTCCAGCTATGCTGTGGGGTTCAAGGAGGGCCTGGGGGGCCCTAACTAGAGCTCCCAGTGCAGGTGACACAAATCTACCCAAACACTAAAACATGAGTCCCAGCAGGAGAGTGGCAGGCTGGGCTTCAGCAGGAGCCCTGCCTCAACCCTCGCAGCCAATTCACAACCTACCAGGCCCTTATAGGCTCAGATTCCCAAGCTCCAAACTGGACGTACTGATGGGGCTGGAGGTACCTAAGGGCTGGAAAGCATGGGATCCCTGGTTAGATTTGGAGCTTCAAGATTGAGGGCCAGTCTCCACTGGGAGCCGTGGGAAAATGGCAATATTGGGGCTTCTGGAAGGTTCCAGGTGGGTCCAGTCTTGCTCCAACACCAGGTACAGTTCAGAGGAATGAGACACAGCCAGTGGGGCCTGGTGCCATCAGCTCCCACCCAGCAGGCACTAGGGAGCCATGGCAAGCTGAGTCCTCACACTTGGGGGCCAGTACCCAGAGGGACCCTGAACGCTCACCTCAGGGGGTCCTTGGTCTGGGGGGCTGGTGCTACTCCACTACAGAAATGGAGTGAAGGCCCATAGTCGATGCTAACAGATGGGCAGCAAGAGATGACAGCTGTTTGTGGGCCTGGCTCCTCACTGACTCTTAGCCCACAACCAGCCGGTGGTGGTTCTGTTATCACCCCTATTTTACTGATGGAGAAACTGAGGCCCAAAAAGGTGAAGTGACTTTTCCCAGGGCTCAAGCTCCAGGGAACCAAGGGCTTTGTGTTGGGGCAGGCCGGTCCAGGGCAAGCCCATGGCTTTGTGGCCCTGAACACTTCTCACCTGGCTCTGCTTGGCCCCTGACCTGGCCTCCAGGCTGTCCTGAGTCTGGCTTCCATCCCTCCTGCTCCAGTGGGCATTCACTGCTGGGAATGCAGAGCTGGCTCACAGCAGTTCCCCCTGCCCCCACAGTCATCCACCCGCCGCGCCGGTCTCTGCTGCACCAACTGCCACACGACCAACACCACACTCTGGCGGCGGAACTCAGAGGGGGAGCCGGTGTGCAATGCCTGTGGCCTGTACATGAAGCTGCACGGGGTGAGTGTGGGCCCAGGCGCAGGGGCGGAGCCGGGCAGCACGGCACTCGCGTCCCCAACAACTGTGGCATCCCGACCATGCTGTGCTCTTCCTGTTAGGCCCACAGTGTAGCTGCCACTCACCCACAGCCACCAGCCATCCTGCCCTCTGTGCACCCCCAGTGCCTCTGGACCCCAACAGCTCTGTGGGAGGTTGGAATGGGAGTCCAGCCTGGGAGGAAAGAGCCCAGCCCGGGCTGGCAGCTGACCAACAGGGACCAACATGGCTGTGGGGACACAGTCAACTCTTGGAGTGACTGAGGGATGTGCTAGACAAGAGACCCCAGGGTGAGCAGAGACAGGGACCAGCCCCCACCCTCCACCCCCGCCAGGTGCCACGGCCCCTGGCGATGAAGAAGGAAAGTATCCAGACTCGGAAACGGAAGCCGAAGAGCGTTGCCAAGACCAAGGTTTCCACAGGTACACGGGGCCGGGACCCTCCAGGTGCCAAGAGGGGGCCCTGCTCCCCTGGCCCCAGAGTCAGCCCCTGCCCCTCCCATGGTGTCCTCAGTTATCTGCCCTTGCTTCAAGCCTTGTCCAACCAGCACACTCCACCCTGTGGTGCATTTGGTTGGGGCAGGGCCCCAGTGACTGGTACTCAGCAGATCAGTGCTCATGAGGCAGTCACACCCACACACTCGCTGTGTGACCACCTGAACTCTCCACACCTCTCTGGGCCAGGACAGGAGAACTCGTCACATGGCCAGATCCAGCACCTTCTGTAAATGCCCGACATTCCTTCCCAGGGTCTGCAGCGAGCACCACAGCCTCCCCCTCCACGGCCACCAGCGCTGAGAGCTCAGTGGCCACTTTGAAGTCCGAGCCCAGCCTGGCATCCCCATTGTGCCCTGGGCCCAGCGTTGCTTCCCAGGTAGGGGGGACAGGGTGGGGTGGGTGCCCAGAGCTGGGTCCCACAGACTACCTCAGGGAAACCTGAGGATCCCCAACTCCTTGGCCAAGTCAGACCCTCATCAGGGCCCTTAGGGCCTCCTTAGCAGGTGAGCGAGGCACACAGTCCACCTTTGGCCATCAGCGTGGAGACCCTTCCCCAAGAATGGATTCCCTGCCAGGGCCAACCAAGAGCCCTGGGTGCCTTACCAAGGGCCACCCTTACGAGGGCTCCCCATCCCAACCCAGTGCATTGACAGCCCTTAAGGCAGGTCGCTCTGCATTCTCATGCATCTCCTGTCCTCCCTGCAGGCCTCCAGTCAGGCGGATGACCAGATTACCCCCAGCCACTTGGAGTTCAAGTTCGAGCCTGAGGACTGTGCATTTCCCTCCACAGCCCTGGGTCCTCAGCCCAGCCTGGGTGCAGCCCTGCGCCAGGAGGCCTGGTGTGCGCTGGCCCTGGCCTAGGTGCCCTGACACACAAGCATGGGGGAAGCCCCCTGGAACAGAGCACTCGCTGGATTCACCTCCGTGCCTGCTTTGCCCAAGCACAGCAAGAAGCCACCAGGCCCACCCATCAGAAGAGACTGGGGTTCTCTACACGGCTGCAAGGGGCTTTCACTGTGCACTGCAACTGGGCCCCAGAGTGCGAAGGTGGCTGGCAGGAGAAGGGCCAGGGCCCCTACCCCTGGACAGCAAGGGGCTCCCCAGACACTGCACGAGGCTCTGGACTTCGCTGGCCACTGTGCAGCAGAGGCCAGCCAGGACAACTCCACCAGCTTGAATTCCGTCATGGTGCTCACCGTTGACATGTTTACAGGTTGCAGCAGCTGGAGGAGAAAACCCAAGTGAAATGCCTGAGCCCCAGCAGGGAACAGAGATGAGGGGAGCAGCAACTCAGGACCTAAGACCTCAGGGTCGGAGCCTTACTTCCCACATGTGACAGATGGAACCGTGGCACAGAGCACTTTCTCTACTGTGCACCCAGGACTGCCAAGACCAGGTGTGCAGGTTGTGCACTATGCCAGGATGCCACCCCGAGGGGTAGCCTTTCACATGGTCGCCATCGTGAACTGTGTATTTATTGGGACAGTTTTTCCAGAGGGGGCAGTAAAGGCCTTGTTCTGACCAAATGTGTGTTAAGTGTCTGGGAGCCCTGTCCAGGGTGACATGGCTACATGTCCTTGCTTATCTGGGACCAGCCCATTGGATCTGTTGTTCCAGCAGAATTACTGGTGACACTCCCTTCAACTTGCAAGCCCAGCACACCTGCGGATGAGCCTGGAACAGATCCCGCTGCTGGAAACCCCTCGGTCTAGGGAGCTAATGTCAGGGCAGTGCTGGGTAGTGGAGGGGCCAGAGCACCCCAACCACACTTCCTACAGAAGGGCCCCGTCTTCACATCTGTCCCATTGCTGCCTTTCATCAACTGGATGATGACACCCAGTTTTTCCAGGGAAGCCACAAACCTGGAGCGGGTAGGGGGAGGTGATTGGTAAAATCTTCCAATTTATAGCTCTTTTTTTTTAACTTTGATTTTTGAAAAACTTTAGAATTTGATTCAGAAATCTTAAATAGTGTAAGCCGACTAAAGTAGCTACAGGACACCCCATTAAAACTTCCATGTTTAAAGACAATTCTTTCTGGTGCTGTCCTGAAGCTGTGTTTCCTGAGCTGCTTCCCACCCACAAGGTGTGATAGGGTTTTTTTGTTTTACTTCTGTTTTGAGACAGAGTCTCACTTTGTCTGTCACCCTCAGTAGAGTACTGTGGCATCACAGCTCACAGCAATCTCAAACTCTTAGGCTTAAGTGATCCCCTTGCCTCAGCCTCCCAAGTAGATGGGACTACCAGTGCCCACCACAATGCCCAGCTATTTTTAGGAACAGTGGTCTCACTCTAGCTCAGGCTGGTCTCAAACCCATAAGCTCAGCCTCATGGACCCTCCTCGGCCTCCCAGAGTGCTAGGATTACAGGTGTGTGCCCTGCCTAGTGATGGGGTCCTTTATGTTTTTAAAAGTGAATGAAGGGCGGTGCCTGTGGCTCAGTGGGTAGGGTGCTGGTCCCATATACTGAGGGTGGTAGGTTCAAACCCGGCCCCAGCCAAACTGCAACAAAAAAAATAGCCAGGCATTGTAGCAGGCGCCTATAGTCCCCGCTACTTGGGAGGCTGAGGCAAGAGAATCACTTAAGCCCAAGAGATTGAGGCTGCTGTGAGCTGTGACGCCACAGTACTCTACTGAGGGCAACAAAATGATACTCTGTCTTAAAAAAAAACTGGCTCAGAGAGGCAACTTCTGGTGCTGAGACCTGATGGAGGCACTCAGGGCGGGGCCCAGAGGATACAGTGTCGTGTCCCTACGCTGCAGCACTGCTCCTGGACCCCCAAGTGCTGAGCCTGTCACCTCTATCCAAGGCTCAGTTTCCCCATCTGTGGAGGGGGAGAGGTGCCACATGTCTGTGGCTGGGTCTGTGTCTATAACCCATGTATGTGGGGGGGGGTGTTCCTGGGGGGCTCCAGTATATGAAGGCAGCACCAAGCACCAACCCACCCAGAGGGGCTTCCTAGAGGTGTCCACAGCAGGGCAAAGAACAGGTGGGATCCCATCGATGGGGCAGAGGGGGTCCTGATGCTGAAAGGGTTTGGGGACTTTGGCCCCAGACTCCCCACTTATGAAGAGGAATCCCAAGGTGAAAGGGGATTTGGCCACAGGCTGGGGTAAGCAATCCCTTTCCTCTGTCTCTGTAGGTCACATTTGAGGATGTGCCCAGGGGGGAGACTGGCAGCTCCACCCTGGCCATGGTCAGTACTGCTAAATTTAAGCCTTTCTCCTCTTGGGACCGGAAGCTGTCAGGACCCAGGGCCTTAATATAGTCACTGGGCACCCCCTCCCTGCCATTCTTCCTCCTGTCAGCCACCCCATGCTCTGCCTGGCTGGTCGTAAACAACCAAGTGGAAAAAAAAAAAAAAACAAGCGAGCTGGAGGCTGGCAGGTGGGGCAGCCCTAGGCTCCTTATCAGAACCACAGGATGGAAGGGAGGTCACTTCATCTGCACTGCCCACACCTGCATACAACCTTCCCACCATCTTTTGAACTAAAGCAGATGTCCCAAGTGGCAATGCCTGGAAATCCTGGGGGGCCTTGCAACTGTTAAATCCCATCTGCAGAAAGCACCCACTGAGCCCCGCTGTGCTTGGTCCTGGGCACCCCAGGATAGGGAAAAGACCCTGGTGAAACCCAAAACTTGAGCACACAAAGCATAGATAAAAAGAAACTCCCAGAGCCCCATCAGCTCCCTGACCCAGAACAGCTTATAGAGCAGAACTCCCCACCTTAAAGTGCTTCATTCAAAAAGCAGGGCAGGAGGCCAGAAGCATCTCAGGCATGGGTCCTGAAGCCCGGCCTCGCCCTGAGCCCTGTTCCTGAAGCTGATGCTGCGGGTCCACCAGTGCTGGCCCCACAAGCCATGTGTGCCTTGCCTGCCTGGGTGCTTCGGGCAGAGTATCAACCCAGGTGAGCCTAAACCCAATGTGGCAGCTGAGTCTGGAGACGCAGCCACATCCACGCTGGGCTGGGACCTGAGCCGTCAGGGCGCGGTCAGGGCGCGGTCAGGGTGTGGTCAGGGCGCGGTCAGGGCGCAGTATCAGCTTCTCTTTTGCTATCCAAAAAGACAGGAAGGAAAAATCATTACTGGGCAAAGCAATGAAAGGTGCCAACTTTGTTTATTTTTTTGTTTAGAGACGGAGTCTCACTTTGTCACCCTCGGTAGAATGCTGTGGCATCACAGCTCACAGCAACCTCCAGCTCTTGTGCTTAGGCGATTCTCTTGCCTCAGCCTCCCAAGTAGCTGGGACCACAGGCGCCTGCCACAACACCCGGCTATTTTTTGTTGCAGTTTGGCCAGGGCCGGGTTTGAACCCACCAACCTCGATATATGGGGCTGGTGCCCTACTGAGTCACAGGTGCCAACTTTTTATTTGAGCAAATGAGTACGTTGCTTAGAAAAGGCCAGTCGCCACTGTCACCATCATCAGAAAGCCATTTAGCCACCAACATTCCTGGAGATGCCATGTCCAGGGAGGGACATCCCAGGGATGGCACTGACATTCCCTTACTTCTGTGCCTTTACTACAATCCCCGGGGACAATTTGTGGGCTCAGGGCTCCCCTCCTCTAGGTGTGCGAACAGGCTTCTTGGTGGCAAGCGGCCGAACCCTGGGCCTGACGTGTGCAGGGGTGTAAGGACGTCCTGAGGGAGGACAGGAGCAGCTGAGAGCCCCAGGGAGGACAGGGTGGGAAGTGGTCCCAGCAAAGGGAAAGAGGAGGTAGAGGCAGGGCCTGGGCAGCATGGGTTCCTTGTCCAGGCTGTCCTTGACTGGGAGGCAGGATCCACAGCCACAGGGCCCCCAAAAGTGGATGAGGACAGTGCAGTGCAGGGACCCAAGCTCCCTAGAACTGACACCCTCTACATCCTCCTCTGGGCACACCTGGGAGGCATGCCTATTGCTGCAAGTGTCAGCCTTGCTCCTCTCGGGAAGGAGGACTTCTGTCTTCTGCCCTCCAGAAGCCCCACTCTGCAGATGAGAAAGTGAGGCCAGAGAGAGCCAATGTCCCCATGAGGCTTCAAGGCTGAGAGCAGATCCCGGGGTGCTCTCGTCCATCCCCCAACATGCAGCTCATGGGAGCCAAACCGAGAGGAGGAGCTGAGTGAACTACAGTCTCACCCAGGTGGGGGTGGCCATGGTGGGCAGCCCCTCCCCCATAGTGCCCTGTGCGGCCGCCAAGATGTTGACACGGACGGCTCCAGCCGCCTTATTTATTATCTGATAAAGTACTCTCGGCACCGCGGGTGGATGGCGTCTGGCCGCACTGGGGCCGGCAGGCCTGGGGGAGGAGGAAAGCGGGTGGGGGACGGGAGCCAAGCCACAGCCACACCTCAGCGTGGCCAGCTTCTGCACTGAACTCAGGGACAGGCGCCCTGAGGAAACTGGACTTTCCCTTCCTGGGCCACCGGCCTTCTTTGTCCACTGCCCATCAAGCCATCAGGCCAAGGTTGGTGGCCCTGGGGCTTCTCCGTGGGGGTTTCACACACTTCCCGAGACTTGCTCTCCTTGTTACCAGACCCCGAAAACCCCCCACGTGGGTCTACGCTATGGTCCCAACTATGGCTGCAGCCAAGCCCTCACTCTGCCATGTAGCTGGCCTGGGGGGCTCCATGGACAAATCAGCGTGATGGTGTGTGCACACCTGGGAGCCTGCAGTGCGTGTGTGGACACAGCCATGAGCAGTGCTGAGCTCACCTTTCACCATGAGCGAGCCCTCCAGGGCTGTGCTCACCCCAGGAACCCTGCTCTGTGATCCCCCATGACATAGTCCTCCTTAGCCCTGGATTGCACCCCCTACAATGGAAACAATGCAGGTGCCAAAAGTCTAAATGACGCAAGTAGGCGTGTGAAGGGACCTTCAAGTCAGTGTCCCTGAAAGGATGTAAGAACACGAAATGTTCCTAAGCTCTCCTGCCAAGAAAATAGGCAGGATTTCACCACAGGCACCGAGCGCTCAGTCCCCAGTGCGAGAGTCCTCGGGTGTCATCACCCAGAATGCACACCCACGGACAGAAACGCGTCGGGGCCTCTCCCACACTCCCAGCCTCTTCTGCACATTTTCTCCCAACTCTCCTGAGTTGACTTCAACGACTGGAAAGGAAGGGGGCTGCCAGGGACAGGGAGTGGGGAAGGGCCCTGGGACATGTTTTGTGGCCACCTTGGCCACCAGTCAGTAGCCTCCTCCCCAAGGCTGGTGTGAGGGGGGTCCCCAGAGACTAGGTGATGAGGTCTCCAACTTGATCTGAGAAGACCATGCATGTGGAGTGGAACGACTGTGCTCCAGGGGTGGCAGGAGAAGGTGGCCATGAGCAGCATCTGCCCAAGGATTAGCTGACCAAGGTCCCACACCGGCCAGATCCCACAGGGGTGGCAGGAGAAAGTGGCCATGAGCAGCATCTGCCCAGGGATAAGCTGACCAGGGTCCCACACTGGCCAGATCCCACAGGGAGCCCCAAGCTCTGGTTAGGGAGTGCTGTGGCCAGGCAGGGAAGCCAACACGTGCCCTTCACTGCAGCGCCCTATGAATACCGTGGAGCAGCTGCAGGAGCCCACGGCGTCCTCTGCCTGTCCAGGGCTTGTCTAGCCCTCAGGGGAGCCAGACCAGGTGAGGGAGGCTGGAAAAAGAATGTGGAGACTCGTGGCATCCTCCTCTCCACACCACCCAGCCAGGACCTGGCCAGGCTCTCTATGTGGGTCTCTCCTCCCAGCAATCCACAGGGTGGACACTGGAGCCAGATGGGGTTGGGGGAGGGGGGCCCAGGGCTAGAAGCTGCCATTTAGCAGCTATCACACCTCCCCACTGGGCACTTCCCCCCAACAGAGCTCAGAGGTCACTCAAGTGCCCTGGACACCAGCTTGACCCATCTGAAAACTTGAGGACCCTGGCTGGGTTCAGATGATCTGGGGGTGGCATCCCCTGAGCCAGGGTGGTCATTAGCCTCAGTGAGGAGCCTTTGGAAGGTGGCAAA